GGTCGTCATTGATTGTTGTATCAGAAACGCTTATCATTTATACTCGGAACCAAGGACCTCTGTAATTCCCACGACGCGAAAGTAAGAACACAAAGACTAGTATAAATGAAGATCTATTCATCCCCAAAACACAATGACGACGACGACCCTAGTCGAAAATACACTCATTAAAACATTGATTCGTACATCTTTTTTTTATTAATATTTAGATAAAAATCACATATATGAAAAATACTCTTATATAACAAATCACATTCTCAGTATAGTTCATGTTAACGTAAAACAAGAATGTCGATTCTATACAAAAACAAATATTAAACTGAGTAATCATCTCATTAATTGAAGAGAAAGTAATGTTGAACAAATATCATAATGAGTAAACCGGTCTAATTTTGACTTATCTTCCCGTCATATCATCTACACAGAAGAGTAGCCAGTGCCTAACGCCTTTGTTCATACCAGGCCAGCAAAGTCTTTCCACTATGAGCTTGATGTTTGCACGAACACCTGAATGAGAAAGTTTTTGTAACATATTGAAAACGTTTCGTCAATAATGTCTCGGTAAGATTAGACGATCCCTGATACGTAGATCCAGGGTTATCTGAGAAAACTTGCGCTGGAGTTCAGTGTCAATTTTGAAGCTGGGAAAGTTTAAAAATATCCATTCGTTGGGAGCTGTTCGAGGAATTTAAAGGACACAAAGCGAATACAACAACATTTTCCGTTCCAGAAATCTATCGTATAAATGAAGTAAGCTGAGAACTGTAGTCCAGTTTCCGAAACTCTCGAGTGCAGATATGTTGAAAGCAAAGGCATGAAGATTGTGTTCGGTGAAAAGAGTATACTTTCGGCGTTCACCCGAGTGTTGAAAGTGCTGTACAGCACAATATGTGGCTAGCAGTTTCCTACCACAAGTGCTATAACTCTATTCGGTGTCAATCAACAGTTTCGAAAAGAATGATAAAGGTTATCAAGTGTACTTAACCCATTGTCGTAAGACGCTTCCGATTGTCGAGTCCAATGCGTCTACTGTGATGCTAATGGGTGATTTTGTGTTCTGGTGTGAGAGCAGTGTTGTTTCGGCCACACATTCTTTAGATGCGAAAAATACTTTTACTGCTATGTCGCCGAAATTGACCACTTCCTCATTCCTTAGATGTTAGCCATTGAAAGGTGGACCTCGGTGGTACATAAACCTTGTTAGGGCTCTTTACTGGGACCCTACTGGTCAAGTCGTATGGAGTGATCGTGTGTTGTACTGTGCTAAGGATAATCTTCAACCAGAAAAAGAACTCACACAAACAAATAAATTGGTAATTCCGTCTACTGGTCTCCGTTTGGGTGTTTCGATGAGTGGATAATGATATTGTAGCAGATCCATATCAATGACTGGCACAAAAACATCTGCAACAACGAAGATCCAGTGGATGGGTTTGCGTTAATTCAGGTAAGATAATAATACCACCTACCGTATAAGGCGCACGGCTTACCACTTACTGTCTCCAGGTTGAAAACAGCTTCATGCAGTCGGTCGTTAGAATTCTCAGTGAGATCACTAACCTCTTTTCTAGTGTTGAGATAGTGAATTTCCGTCATCGCATCAGTGATGTGTAACGGACGACTATGTTCACCCGCTATGGTTACCGTTGATGCATGCCGAAAAGGAGGTTTACCGAAGCGTTTTTCGTGTCGGATCGTTTGGAGCTCGGAATCTTGCAAGGTTTTTTACAGTTTTATGGAGGCTTACAATGCTTATTACGATACCAGCACCAATCAGGATCATTCGTGTCTCGTGATCTGGAGACAGATTGTTGTTGTGAGAAACTCCTCCGAGGAGTTTGAGAGCGTCTACAGTCATTATGAATATCAAGGTGACATGTTAGTGTGTGGCAAATTTCTGTGACATCATTTATTGTCGCCTGGGGTTTTTGTTTAGTCCAATCGACCTCGGCACTGGAAGGTTCAATGACTTTCAGAGTTGCGTCGGCAGATGCAGTCAGTTTGTCTACAGCGTTGTTTTTGTATGAGACAAGCACTGCCTGCGCCTGTTGGAGAGGCATAGACAAGAAGTGTTGCCTGAACAAGCCCTCGTCAAAGGTTTGTTTACTTATGACCTCTCACATTCGTTGAACATTACTGTTACTGTGCCATGTCGTAGTTCAACGTCGTTGAGGAGTTGGTCTCATCTTCGTCGATCGTTGTGATCTACACATTTAGAAATAGTTTTTTTAGAAGTTTCGTAAGGTCTTGAGATATTACTAGCGAACTTACTAGGTGTGATGTACATGTTTAAATCGTGTGTTGGTACTTTCACGACTGAAGAACTGTGAACTCGGGTCTGTCACGCCGCGCTGGTGAGGTCAGCTTCTGGGTAGCAGGACCAGGGTTTGATTTAGACGAGTTAGCTGAAATGAGGGTGGCGTAAGAGTCTTCATCTTAAGCAAATTTAGAGTCTGTTCATTCATGATAAACGCGGCCTGCTTGAATATCTTGTCCATCTGTTCCTGCCATCTGGATATTTCAACGAGTTATCTATTTTTGTTTGTCTTAATACATCATCATGGCTATTGGTCGCATGACCTATTCAGGTGCGTTTGTGATACGTTTACGACATTTCGCTGTACAAATTAAAAAAGAGCCAAATCAGAGACACCGTGGTTGCTGGCAACATGCACCGAAAAAAATATACATTATTCAGACGTCTATTTCTGAAATGCTAACATCTAACTGGCGACTACTCAATATCTATTTCAAGGGTCGATCAAGAAGTAAGAAGAGGAAAATCGGTGAAATACTTTGTGATCAAATTTCTATATCGTGCCAAAAATATAATATTGAATAAAGCTCACAATAACAACAAAAGAAAATGAAGTATGGCAATGAACGAGAAAAATGTATTCAAATATACCGAAAAATATCACAATATGTAAAAATCGAAGTAAAAATTATTATATAAAGTTCCGAAAAGGAACAGACTTGTAGTGGCATTGGGCCCTAACCACACAAGGCGCGGACATGGAATTCAATTGATTTGAATGCGTCGGTTGGTACGGCTCAGCCTCGCAGGCGTGGTGACTCTTGAATGTTGTTACATACGCTTTTTTCATATTAAATACATTGTTCTATCTCTAGCTTAAATATGTTCTTCATCATGTATTGATGATTGTTACGATGCGATGAGTTGATGTAGATAATAATGTGGCTTCTACGTAAGATCTAAATAGATTATGCAGTTACAACATGACAAATCTAACATTTTAGGATAAAATCAATTATTACAGCGGTACTAATAACAAAGTAGACCATAAATCTACAGAATCACTGCTTGCGAATTGGAGTATCATATCCGTTCAGGATCACCACTAAAGATGACACAAATATTCAGAATTTGACAACGCCCTAGCCAGTAACACCTTTTGTATTCGAAACGTACCAACCCAGCAAAATCGGAAACCAGAAACGAAGAGGTTCAAAGATATACTTGATAGGCTATCGATATATCGAGAAATGATCAATCTAGGCTGGATAACGGTTGTAAGAGATTCATAGTATGGCTCACTCCGTTGTGATCTTGTGTGGATGCCTGACCAAGCGCCTTCAGTTGGGTGATTCCACTGAAATCAGTGCGGTCTGCATGGAATGCCGAAGACTTACAGAACTGTTTATTCCAAAGATTTATTTACCGCCACAACCTCTATAAAGTCACTACGGTGAGATCAAGTAACGCTGTATGCTTAGAAATACTAAATTCTCATGGTTTTGTAGGTGATGTCATGTGTGAAACACACATAATATATTGATTGGTTCTGAGAGTAATTTCATTAATAAGTTTTGTACATTTCTGTAGACTGTTGCACTATTTCAGCAGTTCTTCGACCATTTGGATTAGTTGATCAGCTTTGATGAACAAAAGTGTTCGAGAGACACTATATCTCCTTCCAGATCAGTATATGAAAGTTATTTAATATTTTGTATGACGCTTATATATATGATAAAACTCAATCGAATATAGAAGCGTATGAGGATACATAATTTATCGGACGATTTATTCGAAACATTTTCAGATTATCACTATCACATCACAAATGTAGATCTATATTTACCTAGTCTCTAGAGAGTAATCAATAAATTTCTTATGAATTACCATCAACTAGTCTATATAGGGCATACTACCAGGCAACTTAACCAACGAATGAGTGAACATCTACCAACTTGGTACATAAGGAGCCAGATAAAATCTATTCGCAGTTCTATCTTGGCACATCTCATCGATAGCAGTCATATTGTAGATAAATCGAAGTCATTTCGTGTTATCTATCGTATACCTCTATCATTCCCCAACAAAGTTCGTTCCCGCCTCCTACATATAGCTGAAACTCTTGGAATTCGTACATATAACTCCAATTTATGTGTACAGAAAAAATACGTCACCCCCTATCCCTTCTATGGCCAGTTATAACTTAACTAACGAATTTTTGTATTGTCATTGTTTATTTTATTCTATTTTGTTATCATTAACCTTATTTCCGCATCCATTATTTGTTTGTAAATTTCCGCCTCTTTGTATTCTTCACTGCCTAATTATTTACACACATCTTATTACGTAATGATTTTGATGTTTTGTGATTATTATTCCTAGTCCATTTACACAACTTTGACCTTGTATTTCTAACGTTTAACTATTGATATGACTTTTGTTATCGTATATTATTATTCTTACAACCAGTACACCTGTCTTTCTACTATCAGCTTGTAATTTTCCCTATAATGTGTAGGGACTTATTCTATTTCATTGTGATTATTGACTCATATTGCTTTGATTGGTTTACATTTTTGTATAAATATTCATGTCTGTTAGAGTAAAGCCTGATGATGATCTAATTGAAAACAATTGTTCGCTTACATGTGTTGTTCTAATTTTCACAATTGGAATCTTTAATAGTTTTTAATGTTCACTGTTTTAATAAACTATGTTTGTAAGATCTTCAGACAAAATAGCACGAGCTTGTCCCCAGACATAAATGTAAATCGATTCAAGTGACTCAGTGAGTAACATATGGATGATTTTAGCGTCTAACACAAGCGATAGAGTATCAAGAAATTAATGGGATCATGGTAACTAACAGAAGATCGAAATATATTACTGTCTTACTGATAAACGGCCAATAACCAAAAAATAAATCAAGGACATTACGCGAGGGTTGTTTTACTACAGTGATTTGCTGAACTTCTTCATTAGAATATTGAGCGCGTCGGCCGAAGAGTTCTCTCAGTTACTAATTATATCTGTTCTGTCCACTAAAAAAATGTCTGGATCTCGCAAATTTTTTGTTGGAGGGAACTGGAAAATGAACGGAAGCAGAGAAGATAATGAAAATTTACTTAAATTACTCTCAGAAGCTCATTTTGGTGACAACACAGGTTTGTTAGGAAGTCACGTCCGAAAAACACTTCAATTTTAGAAGTTTTAATTGCTCCACCTTCCGTATTTTTGCACGATGTTCGAAAGATTTTGAAGAAGGAAATACATGTTGCTGCTCAAAATTGTTATAAAGTATCAAAGGGTGCATTTACTGGAGAAATCAGGTAACTGTCCCTATTCAACATCCTACAGTTGCTGAATGATCCGATAAGAGATTTCTATTAAGTTTTTTGGGATTAAAACCATAAAACCGTTTTGATTTGTTGCTTGTATCAAAAATAAGGACATAACATGCGTCTTTGCCAAAGGTCATGGTTTCACAGCAGGAATAAACCTTTTACTACATACTGGATGGTTACGTGTATTGAAGCTAAAAGTAAATAAACAATAGCGAATAAAGTGAAGCAAAATCCAACGGGCGATATTCAGTGGAAACATTTTTGACCGCTTAAGTGCTTGCTTCAAATTTAAGAGATCGTAGTGACGAGCTCGTTTAAATCATATGTTTTGTTTGTGCTCCTTCCTTGGTTTTACGATACGGACTCAGGTTTTCAATGGATTTCTATGGAAGCAGTTTAGCAACTTGGCCAGTCCCATTAGTCTCCGTAGTTATTTATCAGTTTGTATATCTTGAGTGGATTTGGTTCAGGGCAGTATCGTCTTCTGAACCAAAAGTTATCATACTACCTGGTGAGATATTAAATAGATACCATATGGAGGTTTTAAAGTAAAGAAAATGTGGCTTAGGAAAGACCATTGCTATAGGTCGTAAATAAAGTCACTATGCAAACAGTATAAACAAACCGAAATGTAAGGATAACAAAAGAACAGTGAGAAGGGAAAACAGTGATAGAGGCAGGGTAATAATAATGATAGATGAGCAGAAAGACGCGTATCGAGCGCAGCTATTTCGGAATAGAGGTTGCAGATCATGACTAAGTTCGGTGTTGTCAAGCCCATAATCAAAAACCTCTAATGAGGTGACAGACTACATCTGGTTGGATGTCATTTCAGACAGTGGCAGCTGTCGGTGAGAAAAAATATGATATATCCCTGTTTTTTATTCTCCTGTAACTAAGTGAAAAAATTGAGACTTATTGGGTCTAGTGTTACACGATTTGTTCTTTAATGCTATTTTTAACTTCTTTCAACGATAAATCTGTGTTACTTGAAGGCAAACTACACTGTCAAATTAGCACAATGCAGCAAGCTGCTTGAATATGTTTAAGGTATTCAGGGCTTGACAACGCTGTCATTTGTAATACCTTTTTGATAGACGATCACAAACCCAGTCAAACCAGGAGTCAAGAATGGGAGTGATCGAAGATATATTTAAAAGGCAGTCGATATGTTGGGAAATATATGAGCTAAGCTGACTAGTTGTTGCGCGGGATACATAGTAGGGGTTGCTCAATAGTGATCTGGTGCGGATGCTTGACTGAGCGCCTAAAACTGTGCTGTGTTCAATAAAACTAACGAAGCTAGCATCAAAGTCGAAGACTTACAAAATTATTTATTATGGTGATTTATTTACAGCTTTATACTTTTATGCATAAAAGTATGCTATTTCTTACATCGCGATTTTCGATCTTTCTGTAATAAGTAAGTGAAGTCATGACTTTTCTTTTGACACAGTTATTAACAAAGACAAAATATATACTGAATACCGTTTCTCCGTCTTTGCTTCAAATTAGTAGTAACTTATATATCAACTTTATTCTTGTTTCTCCCCAAATCTTGTTTAGCCCTGCAATGATAAAAGATATTGGTTGTGAATGGGTAATACTTGGACATTCTGAGCGTAGGAGCATTTTTGGTGAATCTGATGAGGTAGGTTTTTTTAACAGTACCATCATAAGGAAACAATTATTTTATGATATATGAATGGACTTTCTAACAGTAATTTTGTGGACAGAAATACAACTACCTTCATTTTATTTCTGATAGTTAACACCTATCCGGTTCGATACATTATAACTGATTTGTAGATATTAAGATAAATATTGGCTTACCCATTTGTTAGGTTATAAAACAAAGGTTTGCAACAACTAGTTCAAACTCAAAAGATATTTGCTGTGAACGTTCCTAGAGAGTGTATCTGGTGTGTAATTGCATTTGCTGAAAATAAAGTCATATTAAAATAAAACATCCGTGACATACTGATTGCAGTAAAGTGTCCATTGTATATTTAAATGACTACTGAGATTGACCAGATTTCTTCATTTGTAAATGTTTTAACAGATATGATATATATCTACCATTAAAAAGAAAACCATCGATGATTGTCAATATTCATAACTTTGAGAAACTGCACTGAGGGTTATGAAATTGATGGACATACTATATTTCACGATCCTAATCCACTATCTGGACTACTGAAATACAGTAAAAATAAAAACTGCGATAGATTTGAACCCATTACCTGTGATTTTATTTTATGTACATTTGTTTGTCAGGAATATCATTCAGTAATCGATAATTTTGATTAGACAGTTGGTTTTGATTTTTTTCGTTATGATGCAATCGGAAAAATCTAGAGTTTGTTGAGAATATTTATGAACACATATTCTACTTTTTTATTTCCTGTGGTCGTCCGAGTCTTCTACTGATATTCAAGCTTTCCATACTCGTGTACGACTAGATACCCGATTGACAAAGTCAGAGGTGAACATGAGCATATTATTGTCTAAGCGAGTCAGAAGTACATCCGAAAACCCTACGTATACGTACGTCTATAAACCTCAGAAGATTAATCCCCATTTTAAATCGAAAGCGCGTCTGTTTCCATAGAACTTATCATTTGTTATTTGGCCTGTCTAATTGGTTAGGTGTACTCCATTTATCTCCTTGAAAATGTCGTTTTTGAATTCAACCACATGAATTTGAGGTGTAGATACATAAACGTTCAATTTGTTCATCATTATTTGGTAGAAATCCACCAAAAGATGTTTCTTATGTATCCAATAAGCGCCTTAAAATGTTTCATAAATACAGTTTGTTTTATCTGGAGCATTTTGGGAACGAAATGCAAAATAATATCGTCAATGTTGTTGGGATAAAACCTAAATTGTGCTAAAGTAAACGCTAAGTTATGAATTATCTTCAGCTAAAAACTAATCACAATAACAAATTATTTGTAAACAAATTAAAATGTAGCTTTTGACGACTAACAATATCATAGATTAAGAAATAATTGTGCCTGCTAATATAATCCTCAACGTCCTGTCTTCTTTTGATTTATGCCTATGTAAAATAGTGTTCGGTTGTGCAAGTTACTAGCTTTGGTTGGCAGTTTTCTTCGAACTATTACTCTGTAATGGGGTACCTAGAGAGTTAATCATTCTGATATTAGTTGAAGAGTAATTGCTACAGGTAATGGATCAGATAACAGACTTATAAGCGGCCACCATTTAATGTTAGGTTGCTGTGTAGGTTTAGCCTGAGGTTTACTAGAAGAGCTTAGGAAACCGAATCGAGCGTTTATTTAGAAAACTTATCAGCATAGAAACATATTGAAATAAAGTTAACAGCCGTTTCTCCAATCCATTACATTAGCAAATAATTTTCATGACTGCTGGTTTGACTTGTGGTAATTATATCCCATGCATACGTTTACTCCATTCCACATTTCAAGCACCGTTCTCGTAATTTTAGTCTGCTACTTTATTGATATAACTAATTTTACCATTTGAATTTCCTCCTTTTAATTTTCTCATATTAGTATGATATAAAATATGAGTACATTTATCACCTTTTTTCTGAGTAATTGAATCCTTTGATAGATATAAAATATACAGCAATCATACTAGGTAAAAACCTTAAGAAAAAACTGTTCTCAACATATTAGAATGCAAATCGTTCGTTAGTTTGCACCTCTCTTCCAATGGGAACTTCTCAACTGAAATATTACATGGTTTCATGTCGTTCTTGAGTTAAGTCGGTTTAAAAATGATTTTTTTAATGGTAGAGCTATGCACAAAACTCGCTTAATGTATTCAAAAGTATGTTAGCTTATCAACTCCTATTGCGCTACAAAAATAAGAAATATTTAATCAAATTGATCGATTGGTTTGTAGTTGTCGACTTTGAGCTAGCTATTTATTTCATTGGATAAAACAATTAATTTACATCAAAACATCTGACAAGTGTTTTCTTCGTTTCCACTTTAAATTTTTACTAATGTGAATGTTTAGAAGGAAGCTTTCTACATGAATTGATGTAAAATTCACGTGCATTAAATAGGAATTCGAAATATGTACAATGCAGATATTCAGTGTTCCCTAGTTGTCCGTAATTATCTAACTGATATCAATTTGTAACGGAAACTGTCTTAAAGTTTGAACGACTTATCACAAACATCACAGTTTATTATTTAAAGCTCTGTTCGATTTAAAACTTAACGAACTACCGTAAAAATTTCAGCATGGTTTTAGGATCAATTTTCAAAATAGTCTATTGCAATATTCTATACCTTATTGTGATAGACATTAAATATAATCTCACTTAAGCAGTTCGTAACAGAAAATAATTTGAAATACGTTTCTTAAGGTCCTCAATAATAGAGGCTATATATTTGTATTATTTCAAGATTGAGCTTTGTATTGACTTGAAAGACGTTATGTACTTCTCAAAAAGGCAACTTATACTTAGTTATTAAATGTCCGAAGTTCAACTTCTTTCTACTTATCTGTTATATCCTAGCGAAAATTAAATCACGAGTAACTTCATTAATTAGATTATGTATATTTATATTTTCCTCTTATTATAAGCTTTATTTTGACCTATAATTTATTATTGTACGATTTACTGTTCTTAAGCTATGTTCAGTTTATTGACTACTGCCTCCCACGTTCACAATCACTTTTTGATTTATTGTGTACAAATGTTATTTCCTATTTTATAGTGCGTTGCGGTCTGTTTGACTGATATATGAACCCAGTATGTCTGAAATAAATGATTCGATTCGATTGAATTCGCATATTGGAAGCTGGTATTGGGAGTTCTGGACTCAAGCGGATGAGCTAGGCGGACATAGGACCAATAAGGACGCTAGACTGCCAATACCAGTCGAACGTCATTGGTTTGGCACAGTGTGAAGACTATATAAGTCGTATTTTGATTGGTGGATAAGTCACGTGATAAAAGCTGGTCATAAACTCATAACATCAATATATTACAAATATATAGTTAGGTTTTTGTTTAAACAATCATCTGATTATTCGATGTATTCAATATCAATTTTCAGTGTATTGTCTTTTAGTAAAATATTTACCAGAATATTTTTTTTCATTTTTTATTAAAATTATTTCCCATATTTTTTTTATAACAAAGCTTATTGCTGAAAAAGTTCAACATGCACTTGCTGAAGGTTTAAGCGTTATTGCATGTATTGGTGAAACATTATCAGAGCGTGAATCTAATAAAACGGAAGAAGTGTGCGTTAGACAGTTACAAGCTATCGCAAGTAAGCTTATCTTAAAGTTTATTTCACACTGCTTTATTTCATCTCTGTTCTTCAAATCATATTCTAAATTCTTAGTATGTTTTACTAGTATTCATACAGATATTATGTTGAATGAATTGCTATTTGTCTTGTTGGTTTTAATTCTCTCTCTTGAAATGACTGCACTTAACTGAACTGACAGTCATTTGTCTCACATTCAGAATTGATGATAACTACGTAAAATTTTATGTAGTTCGTTATGTTATCATTGATTTCACAGTAGTATTGTTAATAATCACCTGACCTCTAGAAGTATATTACTTCACAAAATAATCACTACTTTTATATGTACTTCAAAGTGTGAAAATCCTTAATTATCATTTCTTCACACTTTCTCTTATTTTACTTAATTTCTAAAAAAGTATTTAATCTTGAACTAAACATATCATTGTTTTAACTTCTATTCTGTCAAAATAAGAGATTAACTTGGTTACAATAATGAGGATTACTTTTTTGTTGTTGAGCAAATAAAGCATATTCATTTTTCTGTTCTCCTCAGCGAAGAAGAATCTTTAATTTTAAGTTGGAAAGTTAAATACATTGAGAAAAGTTTTAGTTGTACAATTAGAATGTTATCAGAAGGGGTTTGTGGAGATTTTTAGGAATTTTCACAGATTTAAATCATGAGTCAGTTGAAGCTAGAACACCATTGAAAACCTGGAAGCACTGGACGGCCGTTTCGTCCTAGTATGGGACTCCTCAGCAGTGCGCATCCACGATCCCGCACCACGCGGGGCTCGAACCCAGGACCTACTGGCTTCGCGCGCGAGCACTTAACCATTAGACCACTGAGCCGGCATCCAATGGTGTTAATGTCTAACTTCAACCAATCCACGGCCGTCCAGTGCTTCCAGGTTTTCAATGGTGGTCTAGCTTCAACTGACGCATGATTTAAATCTGTGAAAATTTCTAAAAATCTCCACAAACCCCTTCTGATAATAATCGTCTGCTCACTAGTGACTGACTTCAAAAGATACTCCTGGAGTTCTAGTGGGAAGCCGTTACCAGTGGAGTTCAACCAGGTCTGTTGTGAGATATCAGCTCACTGAAGACAATGGTATATGGTGGCGCAACTTCGTGGATTGGTTGAAGTTAGACATTAAGACCGTTGGATGCCGGCTCAGTGGTCTAATGGTTAAGTGCTCGCGCGCGAAGCCAGTAGGTCCTGGGTTCGAGCCCCGCGTGGTGCGAGATCGTGGATGCGCACTGCTGAGGGGTCCCATACTAGGACGAAACGGCCGTCCAGTGCTTCCAGGTTTTCAATGGTGGTCTAGCTTCAACTGACTCATGATTTAAATCTGTGAAAATTAAAATATTAGTCAAAATGTATCTAATTACCATTCTTTCTAATAAAAATGTTTATACAAGAAAAACTTGATGCGATTAAATCTTTCATTTACTCATATTCTTATCAATTTTTTATTTAATATTACTGTGCAACAAGTAAGCGACTTAGAAACTAATTTTCACTAATCAATGATACCATTTAATTATGCTGATTTCATGAATAAAAATTTGTTTATAACTAAATAATGTTATTACATGATAAACTGTTCTACAAGTTCGTGACCTTGTCATTGATCTCAAATTATTCGGAGGTTTATGTTAATAATTTAATCATATAAGCAATTACTAGACACATTCGTTCCTTATTTTATTTATTCAAGTTTAGTTTACTATACAAAACCATCAAATATCTTGTGATAACTTTAACTGAAATAATATCATTTCATTTTAGATAAGATTAAATCAGCTGATGAATGGAAACGAGTAGTTGTAGCATATGAACCAGTTTGGGCTATTGGAACAGGTAAAGTTGCTACACCACAGCAAGCTCAAGAAGTTCATAATTTCCTTCGTAAATGGTTTAAAACAAATGCACCAAGTGGAGTTGATGAAAAAATACGTATTATCTATGGTGGTTAGTGAATCTTATTTTGATTTTCTTTTTAATAAACTTTTAGTCAGTTGTTCTATTTTTATTATATTTATCCAGTATAAAATGCTGTAATTAGATGACTTGACATTACATTATCTGATAAAAGTATCATATACTGAAGACCTTGGATGGATAATAAGCCAATCAGGAAACATCACATGGTTATAAAACAATTAACGATACAAAGTAATGAAATAATAGTGAAATAACAGCTTTGATCGTGATAAGTAACCATAACACGTCAAATCATCCCTTGTAAAAAAAAAGAAAAAAGGGTATATGAATACATATAAGAAATCGTGCTAGTGTTGTGAGTTGAGGTTATCACTCTATAGAGTTCTTATCTGAAACTTATATCAGTTATAATACAGAAGATTTGGGTTAGGTATCAACAGTTAAGCTCGAGTTTTGAATTAAGTTTACAAATAAGGGTCAGGGTTTTTAACACGAACTGACATTAGCATTGATGAAATGCTTTGCCACCTTTTTTCTAGAGGCTGAAGAAACTGAGGGCTAAGATTTCGAGTGAGGGTAAGAAAACGAGAACATCATCTAAATACGCTTGATTACCCAATGAAGAACGTCAAGTGCCTAAACATTGTCTGCTTCTCGAGCGAGCATGTTATGTAATTTAGCTTAAGGGTCATTTAAAATCTACTTTATTGTTTCATGATAAATATCTTGATTGATTTTAAGCATTTTAAGGACCAAATATAATCAATTTTCACTTGGTTAGCAATAACAGACACATCTATCGCTGTACTTTAAACTTCGCTCAAAATTCACGTGAAGCGTTATCTTAATTCTGATTGGTTAACTCAAGGGCATCAGTTTATTATGTTTTTACCTAAGTTTTCTTCACGTTTCAAAATATTTCTTTAATTCAATAATTGCAGAAATAACCTTGCGTTAGAGATTATTAAGTTTCTCTTTAAACTCCCTAAGTAACTGAAATATGTGTTAGATACTTTGAGTCAGTGATCACATTTCGTAAATGTTGTTTCATTCTATAATTTGAATCATTTATTGAATTTTTAACCAACCAATAAGTTACTAATCATTTTGTCATTTCTTACTGATAATTTTCAAACTTTCAATTTTCTATTATTTATATTGATAAGTTCTTACTTCTATATTTAAACAGACTATAGAAGTGAAGTTTCAATTCAAACGGGTTTTTTCTTAGGTTAGATAATCAAAACTTAAATATTGTGAATAATTCCCATTAACAAGCCTTAAAGTTATGACTAACAGTTGCTAACTGATAATTTCTAGATAAATACAAATACAAAGCATAAGTTTCATAGTAAGGAATTTTCTTTTTAAAAATAGAAAAGAAAAGAAAGAATATTGATGACAGTTTTCAAAGTTTATTACTTTTATCTACCATTATGTCATATTTCTTTTTAATGATGTAACATTATTGATTAATGAAACAAAATGAAATTTACTTTCTATTAATTAAGTGATTTTTAATGATAATTTAATTAAATTAAATATAAAATAAATTAAAACAATTTTTTACATTATTACTTTAGTCTCTATATTTTAAAACTCCGCCTGTAGCTCTTCTGGAGTTACTGCCTCTCCCAAGCCCGGGTAAAGGAGGAGGGCTGGGCATGGGGTTAGCGTCCCCGTCCCGTAGAAAACTAACTCGCTAAAAAAACGCTTACCAGAAAACGCTCTATATTTTGAAATGCAATTCAAAGCCATTAGAAGAAGTTTAGTAATAATAATATGTCACTGCAAAGTATACATCTGAACAAATAAAAGAAAATTTTGTAGTATTATATAAGGAAAGAATATAACCTATAGCGTATATTAAATATATCTCATTCGATTTATTGACGATTATAATCACTATTGTATATAAAGCGTTTATTTCAGGACAATTTTAATCCTTATTTTTTAATTAATTAATTATTTATTTTAATACATAGATATTAGTACAAGGAGGCACAAAATAGATATGCGCCACACAGATCTCATTTGATATGTGTGAGGGCTGTGGTGCTGCCCGGGTGCCCAAACCGAAGCAGATGGTTTTCTCAGGGGGTCACACCTCGAGCCTTTGACCTGAAGGTCTGATCCACAAGACAGTGGGGCATCGTAAGGAGATGCAGTCTCATGAAAGCCGGTGACTAACAATTGGTTCATACCCCATTTGTTCCTTCAGGTTACTGGAGCCCATGTTCACCATTAGTTTTGAATCAGGGTTTTCCAACTCCCCTAGATGGACTGTTCGTGTCCACCAACCCGGTTAAAGCATAGGACATTCGCTTTTCGTCCTCTCAATTTCGTGGACAACACCCCTATCACGAGAAGGCAATGAGTAGAACTTCCCTGACAGAGGCTATATACACGTGGTCATGTGAAAGCATTTGGAGAGGTGGAGCGAACTCTCCTCACTCTCGGCCGTACCAGGGTATTTGGGGGCTTGTTTTAAATTATTATTGTGTTGATATTTAAGATTGAAATTTCATTATTCTTTTTTTGGTATTTGTGCATTTTTTTGTGAATTGTTCCAATATAACTTTCATAGAATAGATATTTTGTGGTTAGCACTAGAATTTAAAATGAATCTATTATCCTATATGAAATTTATCAATTAGATGTATTTGCATCTTATTGTTAATATTTACATTGAGACTCAAATTCATTATCTTTTGATTTATAAATTTGTACATTATCCACTAAGCTAATGAATCTAGACAACCAATTACATTTTTTACGGGATATGATGACTCTATAACTGGAAAAAAGTGTTTGAACTATTTCATTGTTGACATTCATCATTGGATTTGAATTCTTCTTGGTGGAATAAATACCTATTGTGTTGTATACTGACATTGTATGCACATCGTTTACAATAGATGGATTCTCATTAGCAGTAAAATCGACGATACATTTTATATTATTTAAGACTAATCATCTGGATGTAACTTAAATACTTCACGCCTAATGATAGACAGATCTCATAGAACAAGTCAGTGGCTCTCTGAACTCAGTAGCTCAGTGGATATTGCATTATCTTTTAACGTGAATGGTATTGGGTTTGATTCCGAACATGGATATTAAAACCAAAAAGCAAGTGAATGCAGCTAACGAGTTTCAAACAGTACAATAGATGTGTCTTGGAATCCCTCGTTGTCTGTATTCCAACTATTTAGTTATTAATCCTCAGAAATACAGTATTAATTTTGACTGTTAACGTCAATACCTATGCTCTGTATTAATAAATGTATTTTTTCTTTCTCCTTTTATTTACTACACGCAAAGGATCTGTAACTGCTGCCAATTGTAAAGAATTAGCTCAACAACATGATGTCGATGGATTTTTGGTTGGTGGGGCTTCATTAAAACCGGAATTCACTGATATATGTAAAGCCAAACAATGTTGAACGTTTTGTCGGTCTTCTACTTCTTACTCTTCTTAATTTTGTCCCTTCTCGTGTCAGTTACTTCCCTTTTTGTATTAACAACCAAAGCACATTATAATTAGTAGTATTTTAATGTTTAATGTAAAGAAATATGACTACCAGTTCGAATTACTTAATTAATATCGGTCAAGAAAATAATACTTGTCAATTTAGTTCATTACTTCATTTATCGTCCCTTATATTTAAATTTCGTATGTCCTAAATATACCTTGAATTAATAATTTAATAAGTTTCGTAAAATTTTCGCTGGACCTGAATATAAAATGTACAAAACTTATTATTGTCCATATCGTCAATTAACTGAAACAGTTTGATGATATTTTATACGTTGAAATTGGTAGCTTGATATTGTTAATCCGATGCATATTAAAGACAGTAAGTTTCAGCAAATGTTGCTTTAAGAATATCTAGAAAGATGAAAGAGATATCGATCATGTCTGTAATCTACCAACTTCGGTTGATTTTTACTTTATATTAAAGCTTATTCATAGCTAGTTTTGAACCTTTGAGATGTAGTTAACAATTATAATTTATAAATGGAACCAATTTTTTAGCACTTGGTTATTTAAATCACAAGTTCTAATGGTTGTTCACAGTTAATCCTGCTTTAAGGAAAGTGAGACCTCTACAATTTACTAATAGCTGATTCATATAACTCATTAGTCAATCACTCTTCAGTTTTGTATAAGTTATTTAGTGTTCAATGATTGGTAAATATAATACTGCTAAGTTTTCATTTTGATAACTATATCAAAACGTTTACTCCTAGAAGTCGACAAGAAAAATAACTGATTAATAGTTGAATAACCCATCTAGGATAGATTTTGTAAATATATATTCCATTACTTAAATGAAAACGATAGGTGTGGATACCACATAAATTCAGTGAAATGCCTACTCATAGGTTGGGTGTCTCAAGTATTCAATTAATTTTAATTTAGAAAATTTAACTGGCTTTTGAAAAAGATACACTGCTTATCAGCTACAGTTTCGAGTATTAATAAACGAATTCAATCGGAATTGTGAAAAAATATAGGCATATTCAAATGCCTCGAATATCAATAATAATGGGAAATTTATTAGCAAATAAATCACTATTTAGACTAATGAAGCTAGAGTACTACTTTTTTTAACTGAAAAACATTCAACTATCTGAAGATATAAAGTAAAGTGATGATCAACGACGTCAAAATGTCCTGCCATTACTAACATCAAACCTAAGGAGCAAAAAGGTAACTGAAAACAGTTAAGAGATTTTGTGGCTTTGCAGTACTGATTGATTTTAGACTATCATTTTCAACAAAGAATCACTGATAATCTGTTTCTTCATAAAACAAGACTTCAGAGAGTTACCAGTACATTACTCTACCAGAAAGGGAATTCAAAACATAAACTCATCGTGGCGAATGACTACCACTTGAACATTTGAGTTTGTATCTTATGTTTTGCATTTATAAATTCAGTCGAATTATGACACTGTACAACCATCTCCCAATTCAATTGGTGAGTAACTGCTTCACTACCATGATTAAACTCCTCTGGTCACAACTAGAAATCAAGGAATTACCGCTATAAATTAGTCACTGGTGGGCAAATAACTATGTTTTTGAGTCTAGATAGCCTTTATGGCACGCACACATTGCTTTATTGAGATCTTAAACATAGGATTTGTCTCTATACTACTGGCAAATTTTCATAGTTACCCATTAATCGTTTCCAATAACCATTTAAAAGCTCGTTATTTTAAGCGCAATAGAGATTTTACAAGTAGCATTGATTGATATTTACCTGTTTTGCATATGAAGGTCATCAGCATAGTAAGAATGATGATTTTAGCTTTTCTTGGGGGGGGGGGTATTTCCCTTCAATATCTCTTCCTTGTACTTCTTTACTTCTGTTAAAAAATGATTATAGCGAATAATTGAGAAAAATATTCTTTGTTTACAATTACGCCAGTTTTAATATCAACCATTTTACCTAATGAAACCAGTTATTTTAAATATTTCAACATCACATCTTAGGAGACCCGCACTAGGACGAAATGGCCGTTCATTATTTCCGAGTTTCAACCGATGATCTTAGGTTGGTCCATAATATCAATAAAATTATCTTCATAATCGTTGAAACCTGTCAAATTTTATAAAGTTCACTTCTCTTTGGTCAGGAATCTTGTTCTGTAATTTACTGTTATTAGATTCAGTTCTCATGATGAGCTTGTTAGTTTTCGATCTTTTATTCAATGATTATCAAGTAATTGTGAAAAAATCTACATAAACAATCATATCACGTATAGTGTTAATACACAAGAAAGTACTAAATAGTAGCTATTAGTATCTAACGTAACATTTTGCTAAGAAATAGATGAAATCTGTAGGGCTTGAATGTATTGAAATCGAAAGAAACTTGATGAGCAATTATTTCTTTTTGAAGACTAGTTTACATATGGCCATACATTAAATACAAACCACTTATAGTGGTCTATCAATTATCCCTTCGACTACAGATGATAGTAAGCTATCGAATAGTGTCATTTACTCATTTCTACACTATAACTCTTTTTTTTTATTATTCAATATTTCAGTTTCCGATGTTTGTCTAATTAAAATGAATCCATGATGTAAGTTATGGATTCTGAAGTAATGGTTGAAGTTAGATATTAACACCGTTGGATGCCGGCTCAGGGGTCTAGTGGTTAAGCGCTCGCGCGCGAGACTGATAGGTCCTGGGTTCGAATCTGGCGAGGGGAGGGATCGTGGATGCGCACTGCTGAGAAGTCCTATACTAGGACGAAATAGCCATATAGTGCTTCCAGGTTTTCCATGGTGGTATAGCTTCAATTGACTCATGATTTCAACTATTGAAATAGCTAAAATCGCTACAAAACCCCTTCTGGTAAATTATATAAAAACAAATTATCGGACAGAGTAAATTACTTTAAGATTTCCATTCATTCATGAGATACATGTTATAAACCAAACAAACCACATGAACTAAATTATACCAAAGAACACTTCATAATGATGTCAAACAAAACACCAATGACAATACAAAATTACAAAAAGTAAATGATATTCACATGGATTTAGTTAAGTAAGAGATCTGATTATCAAATTATTGATCACTTATTCTCATATGAATTACAAATATGGAAATGACAATTTGTATAAAGTGAACTACATTTGTTTGAACAACAGAAGAAGAAAAAAAAGTTTATTTAAGGTTAGATTTGTTTTATGACTTGTACAATAATCAGAAAGGACTCTCAGAAAACCTATTACATGATCACAACCGTTAATTAAGTAATTTACTTAAAGTAGCTAAGTATAATGATTTCAATGAACAAATATTTAAAAAAAATCATTAGTATAAATAAGCTTAGATTTATCGAAAATCAATGAGAACGTTATTTATTATTCATTAGAATGATCAATTTTCATGATAATCAATATAAAGTAAATTATATTTTTTTTAAGATTGAACCAGGGCATGCATAAAAAGAGTTAACCTTAACAGACATGAAAAGAACTCATTTGATAGTTAATCAATATTTCTGATAGATTTTATTCAGCTCTATGGGCTTATTGTATAAGTACCTTCAAATGCCCTGATACGGCCGAGAGTGAGGAGAGTCAGCTCAACCTCTCGAAATGCTCTCACATGGCCACGCGTATATAGCCTCTGCTAGGGAAGTGCTACTCACTGCCTTCTCGTGGCATTACTGTTGTTTACGAAATTCAGAGGACCGAAAGAGAATGTCCGGCGCTCTAACCGGGTCGGTGGACATAGAGAGTCTACCTAGGGGAATTAGGAAACCGATTCCAAACAAATGGTGCACATGGGCTCCATTATCCTGAGGGAACAAATGGCGTATGAACCAATTGTTGGTCACCGGATACCATGAGAATGCATCTCATTACGATGCTCCACTGCCTTGTGGATCAGACCTTCAGGTCGAAGGCTCCGGATATGGCCTCCTAAGAAAACCACCTGCTTCGGTTTGGGCACCCGGGCTGTATCACAGCCCTCACACATATCAAATGAGGTTTGTGTGGTGCATATGTATTCGGCGCCCCTTTCTACCAATATCTATGTGTTCAAATAAAATAAATATCAATAAGTAATCGTTACTATTTTTAATAGACTAACATTCCAATCTTTGCCATCTTTAGCACTTATTCGAAAATATCATGGAATCCGCAGGTTATGTTAACCTATTAAAACAAATTATTCTATGTGTACATCAGATAAAACTTGAGGTAAAACGTTTAGCATTGCTTTTATGTTTGTGCTCGTCCAGGTAACAGTAAACTATGTATTTTTTATTTGAACAGTCAATCAACATAATTTCTCAAGTCCATTAGCCCTTTTGAGGAATAGACTGTCAACCAGGGATCTCTAGATAACTCTGTCCTGGGTTCTACGTTTCAGTTGTTAGTATGTCTTATTCTTAGTCTTCATTTTTGCTTCCAAATCCGGAAGCCAAGTTTCGGCCTGTACAGTAGAACGGTTTTAACGTCATTGTTGAAAATTCCGGTTTCCGTCCTGGGTGACAGTTCTTTTAGGCTCAAGGTATTCCTCAGTTTTAGGAATATTGCCATTGATTCGTTGAATCATCTGTCTGTATCCAATGTGTCCACTGGATTCTTCGCTTTTCCTGAGATGTGAAGGTCTCTCAGAAAATGGCCAGAAGAAATAGAAATGGCAGGAATATTCACTCTTATCTGATATCAATCCTCCGGTGGAACGAATCTTTGTTCAACAACACTATGTTGAAAACGTTGTCTGATGCCGATGGTAGTGTGACCTCTTTGTCACGCACCAAAATCTCTTTTCTTTTGTATCTTGATAAGACATCTTTTGTTTCAGACCGTTAGTACTTGTTTTTCCTCCCAAATCTTTCTGAAAGAAATGTGGAGCGTCTTAGCAGCTACCCTTAAATTTTACCAGTGCCTCAGCCAGAATACCGTCTAGCTCAGCCTCTTGCCATTCATTATTCTGTTATTGGTGAGGTATCATCTGTACGGGAGTTTGTGCGAGTCGTTTCGACATCCGGTGGATTCAGTGGAGCTGACTGATTCAATAATTTTTTCAGTATTCTCGACATCTGTCCTACTGCTCTTGGATCTCAATTTCTTGTTCCTGACTGGTCACTTTGATTGACTAAAGTTCCCTAATGGCTCCTCTGTCGTATCGTTCTTCCATGTTTTTCCGGTTTAGTTTTTTCTGAATTAGTTGAAAGATCTCCCTCTTATGTCTGTTTGTCAGCTCAAACGCTTTTCCTGACTCGTTCGTTTGCTCCTGTATATTCAGCCCGTGCTATACCTTTACAGCCCTTTTTTGGATGATGTTAACTGGTGTCTTCTTGTACTTTCTTTAAACTTGTCCAGAGTGTCTATGAAGATCCATTCATGCTCCTAGGATGTTGAAGTTCTTGTTTCTTTAATATTTTTCCAGTTATCCTTCATAATAGTTTCTACTTCAATGAGAAGATTTTGTAAAGCTTGAAACTCATTGTTAAAAGCGATCCTTGACTTT